AATAGCCAGTAACTTTGCGTATGTGGTTATAATCCAGGTCTTCACAACGTCATAAAATAGAATTGTCTTGAAATTTCTGATTGAAGTAAGGATTGTGGCGTAAGCAGACCCAAAGCTGGGAACTCTGATACCTCCTTAGAGAACTTGCTCGTGGCTTTGGAGCTGGGGTGGGGTGTTGGCCTCCTTGGGATCTCGGGTTCCTTCTTCCCCTCCTGACACTGAGGACCAGGGAAGCTGGCCAATTTATTCCTCAAGGAGCCATCTATGTTTTTTCTGAAACGTTCCAACTTAAACGCGCGGTGAAGACGCGAGTAAGAATATGGCTGCACAGCCTCCAGTGGCCCAGGTCGTCAGCCCATTGGCCGATTCACAGCCTTGGCGCTCCTATCAGGGTCAGCTCAGGGGCGGGACCTCAGCGCAGCTTCCCCCTGAAGTACAGTGAGCATGAGAGGCGCCTGTTCAGCAATGACGACCAGGCTGTTTATACATTTGAGCCCAATGAGCCACCAGGAGTCCTTCTTAAGAGGCACGTTCATTCTTGGGTTGAAAGAACTAAGCACTGTAGTAAGTATGGTGAACCTTGAGAAAGAATATATCTGCCAAGAGGGATGCCTTAAGATTAATTGGGTTCATTCATAACCAGAGTCTCGCAGCCATTGCTGACAGAGGCCTCTCTCACATGCAGCATTTCAGCAAAAAGCCACAGACTGCAGTCAGCTTCCTGCATTTGTTCCTGCCAGTGAGCCCACCCTTATAAAGAAGTTCCTGGAACTGTAATTCAACCAATGGGCTGAGGCCTGCCCTCCACTCCAATTGGAGCTGTACAGGTGTAGCCTTATTTGCATCTTTACGAACTAATCAGAGTGGCTTGATATCAACCAATCTGGATGACTGATTCTGACCAACCAGGGAAGTGCTTTTTGGACCAATCAAACTGCAAATTTGCATTCTCATTTGCATATAAATGGACCAATCAGGGACCAGGGTGGGTACTTTATATAAGTGGGCCTCCTCTGTGGCTTTGGGGAACAAACACTTGACCTGAATAAAGTTTCTCCTTATATTTCACCTCAGACGGGAGGCCTGTTGGCCTTTCGATTAATGGCAGCAAACTTCTGTTGACAGTATACAGACAAAGAGTCTCATCTCTATAAAACTTAATTTTCTTAATAAAATGGAGATGTTAATCCTTGATTCACCCATTATTCTGAGGCTGATCCTTTGTGACCTTGGCAGGTAGAGCTTTGTATCAGTTTCCCTGAATAGCTCTGTGGGTCTCCGGTGGATGCTAGATGCTGGTATGGTCCCAGGACCCTTTGAGATTTTGCACTGCCCACGTCCCTTTGTCACCTCTGCACCACTGCTCTGTCCTCCTGTAAGGCCTTCCTTACCCTGTGGAAAGAACCAAATGGTCCTTACTGCTGGCAGCCTGCCCTGCTCGTCCTGACTGGCTTTGCCTCACATACTGTAAAGGCCTTTTGCCTCTCCATGACCAAGATCTTATGAGAATGTAGAATTTCTCCTGAACTGCATTGCGTTCTGGGAAAATAAAAGCAGTGGAGTATAATTGGGATCTAAAAGTGGATACTAGAGAGGACTTCTCTCCAAGTCCACTGGGGTGAGTGCTCTCCAGTGGTGACTCACACATGAAGCTCCATCCATCCTGTGGCTTGTCCATCTTTAGGTCATGGCTCCCAAGGCGTGGGAAGAAGGCACGGGGCATGGTGAGGACGAGGTGGCTGTGGGCAAGTCTGGAAGGGCACACCTCCCTTCGCCCACCTTCTCCAAACCAGAGCTGAGTCACTGGGCCATGCACGCTGACAAGCAGGGCTTAGCAGGAGTTGAACTTCAAGTTCAGGAAGAAGAGGAAAGGGATTATAGTAAACACACAGCAGTCTCTGACACAGGGTCTTTGCTGGCTCCCTTCCTGCCATGTCACAGGGGCCAGCATTCATTCTGGATTGGGTTGGTATTGAGATATTAAGACAACTATAAACCAGTATAGTACCTTGAGCATAGAACTGCTAATGGCTGAAGTCCGTGCTGTGCTTGGAAGCACCCTCAGAGCCCAAGCCGCAAACCAAGGCTGGTTCCCACTAGTGCCAGCTTAGAGCTGCACAGCCATAGGGTACAGGACACGCTCAAGCCAGGTGCTGCTTGTCTGGTTTGTGTGTATCTTTGAGGCACCTTAGGAAAGTCTGCAGTTTGACCAAGGCAGGCGTCTGCATGAAAGACACTGAAAGCAGCCTGCGTGTGCCCTAAAGTTGGGCAGAGCCAGGTCTCAAATCACCAGGGCGGGGCAAACTAATGGCCAAGACTCAGATATGACAGCCACCTGCGTCTGCACGCCAGGAAGGGGAGGGCTCAGCAAAGAAACAATGGCCTCCGCCAGCTCCTCAATCCAGGAGAAATCTGCCTCTCCAGCCCCCGTCTTAAGCCAGACAACTCAATTCCCCACCATTTCTCTGTCGCCTTTCCAGCTGCTGCCCCAGCACTGTAGCTCTGAGCCAGTGAGTCCATTGGTGGGTAAGTCCAAGTGACTCCTTAAAGGGAGCGCCTGTGGGTGCAGCTGCACCCAGTCTCATGCAGTCACAATCTCTGCTGGTTTTCACAACCAAAAATTATGGAGACTTCTCTCCCCGGCACTAAAACCCTGGGCTGGGGTGGGGCTGGGATATCTCACACATGTATCGCTACTGCTGAAATATCTCTCCTGATCTTTAATTGTCACACGCAGGTGTGGTTCCAGCCCGTTCTGCGTCTCTGACCTTCCTACCAATGTGGAGGTGGCTTCTTCTGCATGTCCTTAGTTGAAAGGCTTCAGTTCAGCTTGATTTAGGTGATTATCAATGATGGTTGTTTTGTAGGTTAGTTGTAATTTTGATGTGGTTGTAAGAGAAGGTAATCACAGAGTTTACCTACTGTGCTATCTTGGCTGTCTGTCTGTTACATCTGTATTATATTCTTCCATGCAGTTTCCAAAGGTTTAATTTGTTAATTTATTATTTTTATTTAGATGAAGGTTTATTTTATCACTATCCTGTCTTGTTCAGCCATTTATGTGTTTCAGGATGTAGCATTTCCTCTGAGCAGAATACTCTATTTTAGGCCCTGCCAGTATACAGGGCCTCCCCTTACTGGACAGGACGCACCCAGATCAGACAGGGCTGCAGGAGACCTCAAGGGAGAGTTTAGCTTAGCAATGTCCAGTGTGTCTTCATTTCTCCTGCGTGACAGTGGGGTCTCTCAGTCATCCAGTGTGTTGGAGGCTCCATAAGTGAGTCAGTGCTTGCACCATGAAAACAGGGGACAAATAACACAGGGGTCCCATGTGTTAGGAGAAAAAAAATTTTTTTCCTCTACCCATCTTAGCTTCTCCAACTAAGGCCCTGGATATTTGACTCACAGAATACAGATTAATAAGAGAAAAAGAGAACTTTATTAGCATGTTATGACATAATAGAATTTGTATTAGTCTCTCCTTCCAGTTCCTGTAACAGAGCTCATGAAACTCTTGTAATTTTCTAAGTGTAAAAGTGTTAAAAGAGGCATCTTTTGTTGTAATATTTGGTCTTTGACTCTGGTTCCTGATATGGATTTCCTAAATCTCTTGCATTTTCCTGGGTGACAGGAGCATCTTTTAGTCTAATGAGGCCACTCTGGGTGGGCGCCTGTGTGGCTTCAGGTGGGCTGGTCACCAGGAATTCCCAGCCATGATTAGAATCTTGAAACGTTCAGCTCTACTCCCCACCTTTCAGGGAGGAAGGAGGAATTGGGGATTAACTTAATGATTAATCGTGCCTACATGATGAGGCCTCCCTAAAAACCCAAAAGCACAGGCTTTAGAGAGCTTCTGGGAAGCTGAACACATCCATGTGCCTGGCGACCACCTCCTAACTCCACAGGGACAGAAGGTCTGGTGCTGGGGGCCCTTCTGACCTTGTTCTCTATGTCTTTTCATCTGGACATTCACTGGTCTCCTTTGCCATATCCTTTACTACTAATAAACACGCAAACAAAGTATTTCCCTGAGTGTTGTGAGCTGTGCTGGCAAATGATTGAAACCTAAGATGGGGTCATGGGAACCTCCAATTTATAGTCGTTCAGTCAAATCAGAGAGACAACCTGGACTCGTGACTGGTGTCTGAGGTGGGGGTGGGCAGGAACAGTCTCGTGGGATTAAACCCTTAACCTGTGGGGTCTGTCTCACTCCAGTTAGTATTAGAATTGAATTGAATTGTAGGACTCCTGAATTGGTGTGGAAAAAATACCTTCATCTGTGGTGTCAGAAGTGGAGTGCTGTGAGTGTGGTCACAGTGAGAGCAGAGGAGAAACAGGCAGCTTTTCCTAGCTACCTGTGCACCTGTGTACAGGTGGAAATACTCTGACATGAGCCCCTCAGAGCAGAGGGTGGGACTTGGGCTTATACAGCATCTTAACCAAAGAAAAGGATTTTTAGAGAAGTGACAAGACAAAGGAAAGTGACTTCCTAGGCTGCAAATGTGTGAAGACTGATATGAAGAAAGTAATATAAAATAAGGGCTGGTTTTCACAAGGTTTTTTCTGTGGGTTCCTCTCGTGCTGTGTCTGATTGATAAGGTTGTAGCATTGTCTCTGGCGATTAACTTCTGTCTTTCCTGGTACAGAGAGGAGGGGTGACCTTTTTACAACGTCATGTCCTGCTTTTAGGCTAATAGAAGAGGATAAAGAGGTTTTCTTGTTTCTGTATTTTCTCAACTGCCTTCAGCTCAATATAGAGCTTATGCCCAAGTGACATATGAGGGGTGCTGTATTCTGCTGCTCTTCACTTTTGAGTTATACCCAGCTTCTCTCAGTGTGGCGAGGAGAACTTATGACACTGGTGAAAGAGGGTGATAGCCTGACCTCTTCCATGTCTTCCTCTGATGGAGGTGGAGGCTCCACTATGCCTCTGATACCCACAGACAACATGCTTGCTTCATTTACCGTTTCTAGAGAAAGAAAGTGAGAGAACTGCAACATCGATGAAAATAGCGTTTTATATCAACCAGAAACTATCATAATGTTTAGTGATTTTGTGACCTTTTTTTACTCATCTCGGGGGGAGGCAGGGACAGATGAGAAGAGGGATAAACATGGAAATAGGGCCGCAGCGTCCCCGAGAAGGAGGCCCTGGGAAACGTGAAGATGTGGGAGGGTGTGGTCATGTTGTAGAAGGAGACGGCTCCTGCCTCATAGTCCAGGAAAACCCCCACAAGCAGGGGCTGCTCCCACAGGTGAAGGAAAGTTGGGGGATATTTCAGCGCTGTGTAGCTGGCCTTGGTGCTCAAACTGATGGCCCAGAACCCAGACTGGGGCTTCAGCTTCGTGCGAGTGTCCCTCTGCACGTTTTCCATACAAACTCCTAGACCCCATTGAGTCTCTTTTCCCACATACACTTCAAAGTAATGTCGTCCCGACGCGAAGCCCTCGTGGCCCAGGACACAGGGGTAGGCGGTAAATCTCCTGGGAGAATCGTGCACATCACACTGGGGTCTTCCCTTAGTGACTTGTCTCTGATCCTCAGACAGGATTAGTTTACGGTGAGCTGTCTCTGGATCCAGAGTCACATCGACTGAAAGGGAAAGTAAAAGACATGGTTTTGTCATCAAGAGCACAGTTAATATGGGATAAAACCAGCCAGTGATCATATCTGAGCATTGTTTCTGACCAGCTGTGTGAGCCCAGGCAGGTCACCCCATGAGCCTCGCTTTGTGACATAGAAGTAGGAATGATGCCATCTGTCCCACGGATTGGTGGGGGATGGAATGAGCATGTATGTGTTTCATACCTGGAGAACGCCCTCACGTACCTTGATAGCCCCTCAACAGCTGCCTCACATCAAAGTAAAGCTCAGAAACATCACAGACAGTCTGAATCTCCAATGACAGTGCCTCTGGGTTCTCCAGTTTCACAGCCGAGCTCCTGGGACAAGCAGAGGCCGGACACTTCTTAGTGGTGCGTCCCATCAGCTGTGTCCCCATGCCCTTCCTCCTGCATTCCTACAACACTCACCTGCTCAAAGCGCCCTTCACGTCCTACAGAGAAACAAAGACAAAAGGTGAGTGTGGGGACATCAGGATTCCAGGGAGCCTGGCACCTGGGTCTGCCTTCTAGGAACACTCCTTCCAAAGGAACGAAGACAGGGGCCCGGCCTTGGGCATCGTGGGTGCCCAGAAGGGACGGTGCCCTCCCCAGCCCGGGGTGTGCATCACGGTGGGATGTGGGTCCACCTGAGTCTCCATCGTCCTGCTGAGGCTGTGGAGCTTGTGGGCTGCTTGGGGGGCAGGGCCAGATACTCACCCCATGCTCCCTCGGGCAACACTGGCTCTCATTCACCTAACTTCCTTCTGAGTGAACCCATATTAGAGACCACTCATCACAACAACCCAAGGCTGGGCCCCCATGGTGGTGGCAGCAGGTTGTGGTGGAGCGGTCACACTATGCTCGCAGCCTCAGGAGGTGACCTGCAGCCCTGTTAGTGAGACTGGAATAAACAGCCAGGGGTGCTTCATCCTAGCGGGCTCCCTAAGGGCCTGGGTACCAGGGATGTTGTAAGCAAACTGGGGCAAAGTTTCCCATTCATTTGGCTGCCTCACTCCCCACCCATAGTCACCTGGATGAGTATTTCAGGAGACTGACGCCAGGGTTCTGGGCACATGGATGGGGTAAATGGGAATAGAAATGACCCCAAGTTTCTTCGGCCGAGCAACTCCACATAAGCATCCGGAGGCGGCATGTTGTTCTGATTCACGTAAGGAAGCTTATAGACTAGTGAAGCCACCTAGCAGACATGGATCTGCACCTAAAAGAAAGGCCATTTCAAGTCCCTACCTGATGTGCCACCTTTGATCAAGGCTGGTGGACTCGCCTATCTCCCCACACTGCCTCACCATTGTCCCCTCCATCGCTCAGGGACAGACCCCCACCTTTCCTTCCTCCGAGTGCCCAGCCTCACCTGCAGCAGCTTCTGGGCTGAGCCTTGACACCTGTCCTCCAGGTGCTGGATGTGACTCTCAAGTTCACGCCTCTTGCACTCCAGACTGGCCTCGCTGTCCCTCAGAGGCTTCAGAGTCTGCTCGTTCTCCTTCTCCAGTCTCCACAGGAAAGACTTCTCCTCCTGCTGCAGGAAGCTGTGCAAATTTTTGAAGTCATCCTGGATTTTCTGTCTCTGAAGGTTCACCTTCCTCTGGAGTCAAAAAGGGTGTTCAGAAGAAGGTGACAACCCGTGTGACCAGAGACAGTTGAGTGATCAACAAAGTGTAGCTCATAGATATAGCGGAATATTCTTCAGCCATGAAAAGGACGGGATTCTGACACGTGCTACCACATGGATGGGCTCTGAAGACAGGATGTTGAGAGAAATAAGCCAGACACAAAAGGACACGTGCTGTGTGATCCCACATATACGAGCGACCTAGAGTGGTCACGTCATAGAGACAGAAAGAAGAATAGAGGTTTCCAGGAGCTGGGAGGATGGGGTGGGGAGTTAGAGTTTAATGGGGACAGAGTTTCAGGTTGGGAAGAAGAAGAGTTCTGGAGATGGATGGTGGTGACGGCTACACAACAATATAAAAGTAATTAATGCCACTAAAAGGGGCAGTTAAAAATGGTGAAAATGGTAGATTTTGTGTTATGAATATTTTAATGCACATGCACATACAAGAGATAGTATGCTCAACTGCCGTGAAATTATTTGCAAGTGAGCCAACGAGCTGTAAGAATGTCCCCAGCTCTGTGCTGCAGTCACACCTAGGAGGCACTTGGGTGCAGGAGACAGAGTCATGGACGTCTATGGTCACCTGATTTGTTCCCTTGTTTTTCAGCTTTCATTTTGGGAAACACGGAACTGCAATTTCCACGAGTGTTTTGTGGGTGTGTGGTGTTTCAGAGACCGTGGTGTTGGGGTACGAGGGTTATGGATGGTGTTTCCATTAGTTATCATTGAGGCCCTGCCCCCACGGGATCCCAGAAATGAGGGGAGCAGCAGTGTCCTCTGAGAGGTCACAGTGAACATTCGTCAGGGCAGAGATGGGGAGAGACCTGTGACCCAGGCTCGATGGCTCGCCGGCCAGCCAGTGATGGGTCACGTAACTATTTCCCTGAAGGAATGCATGTCTGACCATGGAAATAGTTAGAGACCCAGAGTCTGCCATGGTAAGGGTGTGGCTCTTGCAGCAGACGTGACTGTCTTTATAAATGAAACACACGTGCTTTCTCAGACATGAGATGACTCAGGACTGTCCACCAGCATCGGTTCCTGAGCCTGTGAGGCTGAGAGCGGCACCTGTGCGGTGGTAAATGTGCCAAGGTGCTGAGGTTGAGGCCTTCAGACTAGGAAGGTCCTCGGAGGTGCTGAGAGTCTGAAACCCATTTGGAGACGGCTTTAGGTGAACAGAGGCACTCATGCTGCCTCTCCTGACCAAAGGTCAGGAATCCTAGCCAATGATTACTGACAGGCCAAAGGGTAGGAGACAAGATCTCAAAGATGGAGACAATGAAGGGCTTAAAAATGAATCACAGTTTCTTCTTGGGGTACCACCTGTTTGGTCTGATTTATGGGAACAAATCCCCATGTGCTTTGCGTGATCAGCCCCTCTGCCTAAGCTCTAGGATGGGAAACAGCTTGAGACCAATAACCCACAATTCTTACATTCCATTCGGTTATTTGCTTTGTCATGTACTCTTTTTGATTCCTACACTCCTTTTCCATGTCTCTCAAATTTGTCACAGCTTCCTGGAGCAGTTCCTGGAGGAAAATGGGGTGAACAAAGTCGATTCAGTTTGGCAGCTCCTCACTGGGCACCCAGGGGGACCCTAGCCATCTGAGACTGTGGGAATGACGCTGGATGTTTACCGAGTCCTCACACTGTGCGGGGAGCCTGCTGAGGGCTGTATGTGCAGGGACATATCTGATGCCCTTGACACCCCTGAGCACTGGTAGGGCTCTGACGTCATTCAGTGCTGCAGAAACTGAGGCTGAGGAAGGGATTCCGCGACTTGCCCAAAGGGCTACGACTGGGAGGTGGTCGCACTGTGAGCCCAACATCACCTGATGAGGTCTAGCCCCCCACGCCCATCCTGCCAGGGAGACGTGGCACAGAGCATGATAATCATCTGAGAGATTTGACAGAACAGCGTGCTGACCCGGACGTGGCCAGCGCTCTGGCACACAGTGGCTCACTGGCGGTGTTTGGTGAGTCAGGGAGGAAAGGCCAGGGCACCTGCTGAGCTGTCAGAAGCAGTGCTTGGAGAAGGGATGCTCTAGTACCCTTTCAAGGATGGTCCCGTGAAGCCCATTTGAAACGAGCTAGTGTCCAAATCAAGCTTTCAGGTTATTTTTCAAAATAGTTTCTCATGTTCTCATGGAAAGCAGGTTGCAGGTGAACCAGATTGCTAGTCGAGGTTCAAACTGAAAGAACAAGGTCGTGTCCTCTGTCACCCAGCAGCACACTCACCAAGTGCCCTGTGCTGGCGAGAACAGGCCGTGATGCTTGTTAGCAAAGGGCTGCTGTTGTCCCCATTTACAGATGGGGAAACACAGACACTAAATAACTGGCTGAGAGTTACCCATTGGGTCAGGTGCAGAGCTAAGATTTCAAACCCAGCAGTCCAACTAATGAGGCTCAGCACCATCCCCCTGTGCTGTCCTTTATCCAGCTACCTGGTGGTTAATGTCCCCTTTCCTCTAATGAGCTGCCCATGGGGTTTGCGGGACGCCAAGGACAGTGATACAATGTGGAGAGCAGGAGGTCTGCAGTGAGGGTTAAGCCTGACAGCTGGCAAGCTGACAGTCTCTCAGGCCCTGCTGAGCAGCACGGGGAGGTTGCTGGATAGATCTCATCTCCACTGGGCCACTGAAGAGAAAACAGCCAATGACCTTGAAAGTCGCAGAATGAAATGCCATCCTGTTAACAGTTTCTGCTCGCTATGCTTTGTGTCACTTCGAGGAGATTGCTTCCACCCACCCCATGGAAAGCCGCAAGGGAGTTTCTCCCTGAGAGGAGGGAACTACTTCCTCAAGCTCCCTAAAACCCTCAACCTAAGGAAAGCTACTTTTGCTATAAAAGCTGTGTCCAAACAATAAACAGGGCCACTCTCTGCCATCAGCACTGAGCGGACCTCCTGCTCCCAGCTTTTGTCTCTATCTCTTTCTTTCTTCATCTCCCACCCAACCCTCCCAGGTGTGTTTCTGGCCCATGAGCCAGGGGCGTTCGGTTGAGCGAGCTGGTCTGGTTCAATAAAAGGCCACCTCGGCCTCGTGGGGGACAAAACAGCATCCCTCCCTGGGGACATTTTCCTCAGATGTGGGCAGGGCAGAGAAGGAGTACTGCAGCAGGACAGTGTCCTCAGCCCACGCCCCAATATCCAGGGTCAGCTTCCTCACGGTCATTTCAACGTCCTTCACCCCCTTCCTGAATCTTGCTCAAAACGGCCCCCCCTCCCACTTACAGAAATGATCAGAATCTTCTCCTTGACATTCCTTCTATGGTGTCACTGCCAGGAGGCTCTTTTCAGTGTCACCTTCACTCTGCACTTGCCAGTCCCCGATGCCAGGAACACTCTGGGCAGGACTTGGACCTGAGCTGGTACCTGCCTCTCAGGTAGGATCAGTCAGCACAGCTCCCTCGACTGTGCCTTTGCCCTGTGGTGCCCTGGGCCTGGGATGCTCTCACTTCCCTCCACACTTCTGTATACAGTGAATTTCTGTGTAGCCTTCATGAGTCACGTCTCCACCACCCACACCAGAAGCCACCAGTAAGTTATTTCTGCTGGTCTGTCATTCTTGGTTTGTCTGCGGGTTGCCTGAATGTTGGTGACTTTGTCCCCTGTGGTGCCTGGAATCTCACACACATAGTGTGAGGCAATCGAGTGTGTGAGTGTGGGTTTGTTCTAGAGCTGGGAGAAGGTCCTGCCATGAGAGTGGATATGGACGAGTCTGACTGTTCCACGCAAGAACCCCCAAGGTTAGGATGGACGGTGGGGACTTGATCAGGGAGGACCTACTCTGAGCTACTTTCCAGAAGAGGGAGATGGGGAAAGCCATCCATCAGGATGCAGGCTCAGGGGTCTGCTGCATGACCTCAGGTCTGTGCAGCAATGACATTGGGACCCTCCGAACCCTGTCCCAGACCCACAGGCTCACCTTATAGCCCGGGCACACGTCCTCCACCAGTGCGGAGGTGCACCACCTGTTCTGTGGAGACCACGCACAGCGCCAGCAGATGAGCTGGCCGTTGTCCTTGTCGAACAGGTGGAGCTTCTCCCCGTGCTCCTTGCACGTCATCTCCTGGTCCAGCTCCTTTATGACCTCAATGAGGCTCCCCAGCTGCTTGTTGGGCCGCAGACTTGTCCTGTTGAATGGAGCCCGGCACTGGGGACAGGGGTGCTGGCGCAGATTTGGCTGCTGGTTGTCCAGGAAGTCCTCTATGCACCACTGGCAGAAGCTGTGTCCACAGCTGATGATCTGCGGCTCAGTCATCAGGCTCAGGCAGATGGAGCAGGTGGCTTCCTCCCTCATCCTCTTGGTGGCTGTGGCTGAGGCCATGGCTTCTCCTGAAAACCCCCAGGATCAGACCCAGAGGCAGAGAGGGAGCCGCCAGAACCCCCACAGGGACAGAAGCACTTGTCACCTGGGCTGTGGTGCTGCTGTCTCCCAGGTCCCGAGGTCTTCTCTCTAGATAGAAGGAATGTACTGGGACTCAGAAGGGGCATGATATGGGACTGCGCTGTGACCATCTTGTGACCACTTCCATTTATTAAAACAACATCGGATTCAAAGTTCAGCTTCTCAGTCGCACTAGCCACATCCCCATCATGACAGAACAGTCTAGACATAGAATCTTCCATCACTGCTGAAAGTTTTATTGGGCCAAGTGCTGAGGGAGAGAGAAAGACAGACAGACAGACAGAGAGAGAGAGAGAGAGAGAGAGAGAGAGAGAGAGAGAGAGAGAGAACTGAGGGCCTGTGAACCTTTCCTATCTTGATCAATTTCAAGAATAATTAGTTCTTGAATTATATCTTTACAACTGGTGGTGACACTCAGGTGACTGGTGGTTCATGGAGGATCACAGCACTTGCACCCCACCCCCAACCCAAAGGGACAGAGACACCGGGTTCATAGTTTCTTGGGGACCCCAGGAGGGAGACAGCTGAGGGAGATATGGCCATTAGATGGATGCGTTTTTTATCTCTGTGATCCTCCCTGATGGAGGGAAAGAGAGCTGAGGATGAGGCAGTGACAGTGTCTCCAGCACCCACCAAGCAGATGAGGGAGGAGGGACCAGGATCAAGGGGTGTGCTTGGGGACCCCAGCCCTGCCCTCCTGCCCACACCAGCCAGGTTAGAGAGTGAACTGACAATGGTGGAATCAGAAGCAAGGATTCAACAACAGTTACTAGAGCCCCTGTTTCCTTCTAACAAGCAGGGCCTGTAGTTCCATGGTGGGTGATTCCCAGGGACAGCAGGCTCCTCTGTGGCAGGGGGGCTGTGTCACTCCTGAGGCCCCAGCGCGCCCTGCTGGGCCTGCTCTCCCCCCACATCCTGGATGCGCTGAGATTTGTCTGCATGTGGCCTGGGGAAAGTGAAAGCAGACATGGGTGAGAGTGACTGCCCAGGACATGTCCTCACTTTTCAGCTCCCGGAGGCACTCTCCCTGCCACCTGCCTCCACCTCCAGCTGTTGAGTCCCCCCACACACCGTGGCCCGGCCCTTTCCCACTACCTGGACACTGCAGATGGTCACACACGAGCTGGAGTTCTGGGGAGCTGCCACTCCCGATGAGCAAGACCAGGAAGTTAACTCCGACTGGAGGAAACTTAAGTAACTTCCGGGGGTGGGGCCGTGGAGTGGGCTGAGAATCTCTTTCACTCAGCTAGTCCGGAAAGGGGGCAGAGGGTCAGGAAGTGTCCTTCTCTTACAGTGATGAGAAAGGGTGAGATTGATCACCAGGAAGCTGGCTTGTGTCCCCAGCACAATGTCGGGGGTCCGGAAGCCTGTGCCGCTCACAGAGTCAGACTTGAGACTTTTCTGCATTCGTCACCAACCCCTTGATAATCCATCAGCCTACCGGCAGATGCTCTACTCTGTTATTTTAGGTTGCTTACTTTTTAATAACGGCTCTGAAGGGGGTGGTAAGAAAGGGGTGGTAGGACCTACTGGGGTTGCAGGACTGGCTCCAGCCTGTCTCTGTCCTCTGGTCCTGTTGCTGTGTCTCATGTCCCCCCGTGGTCCTCTGCAGGATTTAGATACTTAGGACACTCAGCAATGGTCAGCAAGCAGCCAGGAGCCACTGATGACCCAGCTGGGACCCCAGGACCATCACTCTGCTCTGCGTCCAGTGCAGAAAGGGCTGTGAGCTTGGGGGCAAGAACTGTGACTCAGTTCCTGCCTCTCCTGTTCACATAGGAGCCGAAGGACTGTCCCTGCCCAATTCAGGGCTGTGATTTATGGGGAAATCAGATGATCGTCTCAAAGTAAGAGCTGGCCACATGTGTAGCCTCAGGTTTAAGATGCACTTATGACAAATACGCATACGACAGATGTTCGCACAGGAAATAATATCTGCAGTGGCTGTGGGACCGCTCAGATAGGCTCAGCTACCCGCAGAATCAGGCGTGGACCCTGCCAGCTGCCTGTGACCAACGTTGTTCCCCTCGCCTGGCCTGTGAGGTGCTGACCCTGGCGGTCCTGTGGAAAGCTGTGCTCAGGGCAGCACAGAGGGGCCTGGCAGTTTTTTGTCCCAGACACCGTCCTGCTGGGCAGCAGCACAGGCTGGAGGCAGAATTGTGAATCAGTATCCTCTTCCCCCCACATGGGAGCCTCGTCAGCACTGCCCCCTCCCGGGAGCTCACAGAGCCTCTGCCACGGTGTCAGCCGGTGCCTCCTGGTGCCCTGGCATGTGCTGTGGGCAGACCCCGCACAGGCCATGCCTGACGCAGCCAGCACGCAGACAGCGGACACAGCTGCCCAGTCCCTGAGCCGGTGAGGGCTCATTGTAGATGCCCACACCCTTCATCTCTGTGGCTGTGACTCTGGACCCAGGCACAGCTCATCCAAAATTTGTCCTGTCAAAGGATCAGAAAAAGGAAGCAAGTAAAAGGCAAGAAAAAAACAAAGGACCATGAGCAATAAAAGCAGCAGCATCACAATGGGCTCTGTGCCATGCCAGCTGCCCACCTGGCACCTGTGTCCTGTGGCATGAAGGAGGTGCCTGTCCATGCAGACAGCTGTAGGTCTCACAAGGTGACAGCAGTGCGATGAGCTGCCAGAGGTATGTTCCCTGAAGGTGGGCACAGGGAGAGACCAGTAGGAGTTGCCCCTTCCCTCCCCCCAGTAGGAAATGCACCCCTCTAATCAGGGAGGCTGGGCTTGGCCCTGTGAGTCT